TTCTTTGTAAACCATACATGAACTATCTACTGTATTTTTCGGTGCTGATTGACCGGAAATTCATAGTTGGTTTTAGATTTTCTGGTTGGCAGATGGTAACCTTGGGTTTAGTTTGGACCCTCTTATTCTGGAAAATAACTGGAATAAATTATTATATTTGCTGTTGGTGTTAGTTTAAATCATGTGCAATGCATGTTAATTTGGACCATCCGTGCCATGTAATCTATGGCCCTGTCGCCTATCCATGCTTGCAAGGGGTCCTATTTCTTTTTTCGTTTTGTTTTTTGTTTTAAGACAATGAAACGTTTCCGAATTGCAGTGGAGAATGCTCAATGTATCAATGTATTAGGAAAACAAAAATTTGGGGACCCTGTGATCGCACCTTTGGCTATAAAAACCTTCATATATATGCTAAGTTATTGAGAGAATCTTAAACACATAGTTATATATATGTCATTGATTTTTGAAAGTTGTGTCAAAGTTTCAATCTCTCCCTTTCCCATTCTCTCTTCCCTCTCTTCCCACCAAAAAAAACAACGAAAAAACCAATAGAGTTTCAAATTCTAAAATCAAAGCAAAATCCTTACTACTTATATTGGCTTGCTATTAGCACCCATAGAATTTCATTTATCTCATTAATCAACGCAAATTCTTTCTGTCTGCGTTCTCAAATGGCAGGCCTCATCTCTGAACTAGACCTCGAAGACCTCGATCAAGCTTCAAAGACCAAGAATTCGGAGGACCCACCTGCCCCTGTTGATCCCAGAGACTTGACGTTTGCAGATTCGTTCTGGGATTTTGCGTCTGGTTTAAGGATATACCAGACCCTGATATGGCAGAAACAGGGGAAGTCAAGGTTGAGGTGGTTGAAGAAGAGTATTGGAGAGGCAAATGGCGGTGAAGGCCAAAGGCAAATTCTTAATGTGTATGACCCAATTGCTTGTGGGTCTGAATAGACTGCCGATGGGTCTGTGCCAATTGGTTGTGTGGAGGAGTGTGAAATATCAGAAAATTTGAGTTGTTCTGTTGACGAAGAGCTGGGGAAGGTCAGTTTGCTTGGAGGGTGCGATCAAAATTCGGTTCTTGATGGTGGGAATTGTATGAAGAGTGAAACAGTGAGTCGTAATTCTGGAGAAGGAGAACAAGAGAATAATGAGAACGGGAATGAAATTTCGAAGTCCAAGATTGAGGATGAGAATGGTGCAAGAAAGAATGCAATCCTATTTAGAAAACAGGAACTTGTGTCTCTGTAGGAAGATTTATGTGATCACTGCGAACATAAACCAGGAATCCTAACAAATTAACAATGTAGGAAAGAAGTATTAGTTACTATCTAAAAAAGAAAGTAAATACAGCCTTGAATAAAAATGGAAACTAAAATTACCTGACCGGAGAAGGGAAAAACCTCTGTATAGACTCCACAACTGAGGGTTAATTCCATAATTTGCAAACCTTTCCTCTTGAGATTCTTGAAACTTCAAATTAATCTCTCTCTTAGTTTTCGTTGCTAGATTAAGCCTTGTGCATTGCCTTTTCTTCAATCTCTCACCCATGGAGAAAACTCGAATCATCCCTTCATTCTCCCACTAACGGAAGTCTCATCACTATTCTTAGTATTGATGGGGGTGGAATAAGAGGGATTAAACCTTTTCTTTTAAGCATGTAAGGCTCGCAGATTATTTTCATGTAGTTGCAGGGACGAGCACATGTGGCCTTGTGGCTGCCATGCTTACTACCCCAGATGAAAATAATCGTCCCTTGTATACTACTAAAGATATCCTCCCTTTTTATCTCAAACATTGCCCTAAAATCTTCCCCCAATTTAGGTGTAGTTAATTGTTGACAGAGAGATCACATTATTGTACTACGTACCTTTCGTATGCAGATGATATTTCTCGTACAATAGCTCTCTCATCGTTAATATCACACATTATTTCGAACTTTTAGGAGGACCCAAATATGATGGGAAGTATTTACATAAATTGTTGAAGGAAAAACTAGGAGACAAACATTTGCACGACACATTGACTAACCAACTTTTGATATAAAATGGCAACCTACAATTATTTTCTCCAGCTATCAAGTTTGTTTATTAATTATCTCTTAATTCGAA